TTGATATAGCCTCTGGATTTACTATAAGAATACTGGCATGACTGCTTCTGACATAGGTCACTACAGAAAGCCCATTCTGAAGAGGGCCCTTCAGTTTTTATCACATGTACATCATCCATTTTGGCCATTCGCTTTCTGGACACACAGGTGTCCATTCTCTGTTCAAATTAAATACAAAAGTAGGCAGAGCTTCAGGGACTAGAATAATAGCTTAGTGGTAGAATACTTGCCTGCTATGTGCAGTGCTCCTGTTGTACACACACACACACACACACACACACACACACACACACACACACACACACACACACGCGTGCGTGCGCGCCTGCACCTAAACACACACTCTAAAGCCCACGTTTCTCTGAGGCTTTTAGTGTTCATTCTGAAGAATTTTTGTATCATGTGAAAATCTGGTTAAACAAATCCATTATTCTTTTATTTTTCTAGTTTCTTTTTGGTGTAAGATTGTTAGTCAAGATCTTTATTGTAAGGGGAAATGCTGACTATGCCTGCTTGGGGCTGGACACAGGTATCGCTGACCACATACGCTTGGGCATGGTCAGTGCGCCATAGCAGGGGTTTAAATATCAGAGATACAGGCATTCCGGTCTCTTTTCCCTCTTCCACCTGACTGAATGGACGAATAGGCATCTGGTGTAAGCCTGGTCACTGGCTCCATTGCTTGAGTACTTTCTTAATAAACTATCTGTGATCAATTTAGTTCTGATTCCACATTGCGTTTGGCTTTACTTTATGATGGATAAGAAACAGTATCACCCACTCTTGTCATACACAAAAGAAAATTTGTCAAGTGAAGTAAGATGCCCCCCTGGAGAAATGCACAGAGAATGAGGTAAAGAGGTTAGCAACTATCTTTTAAAAAACAAAAAGGAATGAAGGAGCCCCTATAGAGATTCATTGATATAGATAAGCCTTAGCTTTTACAAATGTTTGCTTTTTGTTCTCTCTCTTCCCTCCCTTTCTCTCCTTCCTTCCTTTTCCTTTTTTATATTTTAATATCAGGAAAAACACCAGAATCCCAGGGTCAAGTCTAGCCAAGCATATATACCTTTATAAATAAAGTTTTATTGTCACATACCATGTTCACTCATCTACATATTGTATATAAGCACTTCTGCAAAGTAGTTGTGTCCAAGACCATATGGACACACCACTGCCCTGTACTATTTGCTCTGTATGTAAAAAGTTTGCCGGATCTGTGTTCTACATGACCGGCAGAGACTCTATTTTGCTGAGCCAGGCCTTGAGAAAGCAGCAAGTGCTGAATAGACTTCATGCTGCATTTGGTGCTCAGCTTCTCGGCTTTCTGCTGTGTGTTAAGGGAAAGAAGCCAGGCTTCCACGGGGGTCTAATGAAGCAGAGAGAAGTCCTGCAGACAGCAAGTTCACAGGATGTCTCAAATCACCACAGAATGGGAGAAGCTGGAATGAAGGAGGGAAGAATTTCACTCTTTCTGAGACTGCTCTAGAGTCACTCTGCACTTTACTTGTGGAGGACTGAATTCTGCCAGCAAGTTCTGAGTGGATTGACTGTTGTCCTTAGAGACTTTCACGCTGCTACCATTGACTTCGATGGGAGTAATGGGGCATTTTGTCCCACGACATCTGTGCTGGCTTCAGGCTATTTAACAAAGTCCTACTAAACAAATCCCAATAAAGTACTCTTTAATGGGTACTTAATTCTGTTGTAGAGGTGGGTGCTGAGCACACCTAAGTTCTTTCTTTTCCTTCAGGTTTGCTGTTTCCTCCTTTTTATGACTTGGTAATTACTATAGCAGAGAACCCTGAGTTAAGCACTATCAAGTGCACTATGAGTCACCGAGTGTCTGCTTTTATTGATCTCAGTTGATCCAATTACTCTCTAGGTTCCAATTTAACAGTTCAATTGATTATTCATTTACATTTTTAATGTTGTAGGTGAAATCATTTTAACATGAATCATCTCTAGCTTACTGGGTAATGTACAGAGTCATTTGGGATTTTAATCTCAACAAGGATTTGTTGAGCATTTGAGCTCAAAATGGAGCAAGGATGTAAAAGGTCGTTACACTTTATGGTCAACCATGACAAAAACGACGTGCTGATGTTTTTTTGCTATGCAAAATGGCTGTTAGTTATAAATGGCTTCTGTTGTGTTAGAGGGTAGTTAGGATAAAAATTTTTGTAATTATATTTTGTCTACACATACCTTAAAGTATATAATGCCCATATCTTTGTTCTCAAACATGGGTCTTCCTATGATTTATTTTCCTCTTGACTTGCTGAAGATATATAGAGAGGGAGGGATGATGCCAAGGGGAGCTCCTTAGAATGAGAGCCAGTTTGATTTCATTAGCTCATGAAACTACTTAACAAACACAGGTAACATGTAAACATCTAACTTTGACTGTGTTTGCAGTATTGTGCTCTACCGGAAGGCTCTTTAAATATGCTTTGTGGAGTTCATTTGGTGATAAGCTTTCATCCTGCACATCAAGAAGGTGAAACTAAAAATATAACTGCCAATGGCTTATCCTTCCCAACAGGAACTGTTGAGTGTATCATATTAATGAGTTATATGTCTAATCACCTATTGTGTTCGCTTGTTTCTAAAATGAGATGAGGCATAGGAAAATACATAAATGGGTACTTCTGGTCATAACAGTCACCTTTATCTGGCTGTATAAAATGGAGCCAGAGTTTAATGCTGAATAGAGGAGGCATGGTACTCATTTTCTAGGGAATAGTATGCGGTAAAGCTTGCTGGGAAGGGCAGTGAAAAATGAAAAAGTGCTAAAATACTTGGAAGTGCCTCCTTTTGCTGACTTTCACTGTCAGTCTCATTAGTCTTATTACAAACCTGGCAGATGAAGAAGAGAGCTAGTCTAAATTCTTGGCAAAGAGGTCAGATAGTCAGTAGTATTATGTTTTTTGTGCATGAAATTACTGAACTCTGGTTTACGTGCCTGGCCTGTAAGAGAAAATGCATTCTAAGCAAAGCCAGAAATGCAGTTTTTAAGAATATGTCATCTCATAACATTTAAACTCATCACTGATAACTGGATTCAGAATGCTTCAATTTCCAAAGCCCTTCCCATTCCTTGGTAGTCCTAGGACACTTGAGGGAAAGGTGACTTTAGGAAGCGGTCATGCACAATGAGTGAGTTCACCAGTTGAATGTTGAGGCCCCCCCTGGGTCCTGGCCTAAGTTACTATACTTTGCAGAAGCAGGTTATTTGTTGCTTTTGTTGTTGTTTGCTTGTTTGCAGACTGCTTTGCCCTGAAAGACCTCCTGTAGAAATTTTCCACCAGGCCCTTTGCTTTGGTCTCTCACACATCTTTGAAATTCTTTGCCTAAGCCTTCACAGCCATGCTATAACTTACATATAGTCATATAGAGATAGATGGACTGTATGATGTATAAAATATAATTTGATAAATAACATTACTAATCCAGATTGGAATAAACAAGAACAAAACCTTGTGCTTGCCTTAGCCTTACCTATCAAGGAAAGGGGGCTTCTCAGGCAAATTGCTGCTAATGAATATTCTGTGTCTTGTGAATGTATTGTTCTCAATAAATTCTGAGATCATGGAAAGACACAAATGTATTTGTTGATGTTTTAATATTGCACACTGAGCACAAGGAGGGGCCAGTCTCAGAAAGGGGACTTAGGAAGAACCTAGGGGTTCTTAAGAAATGCTGGGTGTTCATCGTAGCTCATATGAACAGTATATGAGCAGTGGAGGCAACTCAGTGAACTAAATTTGGGATTTTAATTTGTAGACAAGGGAGAATTGTTGGCTCACTTTAAACTAAAGGGAGGAGATGGTAAGATAGTCAGAGCTTGCAGATACCTCAGCTGGTAATTGGTCTAGTGTGCAAACATGGAGCCATGGATTTGGGTTCTAGCAGCCAAATGAAAAGATAGCCATTGTAGTGTATGCATTTGCAATCCCAACATGGGGGAAGGAACAGAGGCAGAAGGATCCCTGGAGCTCATTGGCTAGGCAGCCTACCTAAATAAATGAGCTCTAGCTAGGTTTAATGAGAGACCCTGTTCAAGATAAAAGGTAGAGAATGAGGAAGACTGGCTTCTTTGCATGCACACACAGCACAGCACACAGCACACACATGCTAAAGGAAAGAAGAGCTCCAACAAATCCTGAAATGTGAGCAGAAGACAATAGGGGAAGTGCAAGCAAAGCTGACTTCAAATGGGCCAGGGCCAGAAACAGCATCTATTGATGACCGGATGCCATCTTCTATTCATCCTAAAACAAGCAGATAGAACAACTATAGCTTAGTGGTTTGTTTTAAAAGAGTTTACTGACTATTTCCTCTTCCCAGGGAAGCCTTGCCCTCTCTGAAGAGTGGATGGAAGGTGGGGTGGGTAGAAGGTGGGGAGAGCAAGAGGAGGGGAGGAAGTGGAAACTGGAACTGGTATGTAAATATCAATAAAATGATAAAAAATACAGAGAAAACAAAAAATAAAAAAGAATTTATTGAGTGTGCTACAAGATGGCTATAGCTGCAGTACTGCTATAGCCATAACTCAAGTTCCAAAGTTTGTGCTGGGCTCATCCCTGGGATGATTAGTCCCTTCCCCAGGAAATGGTTCACTTCAGCAGCATAGTGTCTAACTGAAGTCCTGTTTGTTGTCTGATTGTGATAACATTTTATAGATACATGCATAACTATTTTTGTTAGACACTTTAATTAGGTCACTGCAATTGCAATTACTCTCTCAGTAGAGTTGCACTAATGGAATCCCACAGTTAGTTCTGTAAGTAGATCACAATGTATATCAACAAGATGATGTATTCTTAAAATCCCAAAGTTTAAATTTGCTAAATTTGTTCAATTCGCTATACACGGCATTCTGAAATTCCTTTAGAATTCTCTGTTTATGTGAGAGAGTATTGCTATACGTACCACCTGACAAATCTCACACCTGTTAGAATAAGCATGCCCGAGAAGGGCTTGTGTGAGCCCCTTACCTGTGCTGTCTTCATACACCACAGTCACGGTTCTCCAGTTGTAGTAGAGGACCAGGTCCAGCACTGCCCTGCTGATGGCTGCATAATCTGGGTAGAGGTTGATGTAAAATAAGTCTTTGTTGTCCACTGAAGGGTGTTTCCAGCGAGTCTGAATGTGTGGGACTTCCAGAGCATTGCAAATAGACTGCACAGCACTGACAGAAGAGCTGTGGGACGGGCCAAAGAGGGCGGCCACACCAAGAGCCAGCTGGTCACAAGCTGATAATATCCAAAGCCAAGGGAGGGGAAGGTGAGGGTGGACAGGGAGGGCAGGGGTGAGAAAGAGAGAGTTCTATGAATGCATGATTTCCTCACATGATTTATCTACTCAACTATTAGAGACCTCCCACACATGCCATCTCTGTGTTGATATCTGCTCTTTCCAGCTTCCAATCTACTTCTGATAGTAAAATACCATTAAATGTAAATGTAAAGCCAATCAGCGATAAATCACAGGGCCAACTCCCTGCAAATAAAAATGGGTTGCTGGTCTCAGTTCATTACCTTCAATCGGATGAAGGCTAACTCTTTTACTGGATCCCAGGAGTATTCTTTGAGCTAACTAGCAAACCATTCATCAAGTGAATGTCGTATGAATTAAGTTCTGTCATATGGCAGGGTGACAATGGAGAGATTAGTATGGTCAGAGAATTCAGAAGCCCCCGTGGGTGACTATAAAATAATTTGACTGGCATCTTTCTAAAACTCAGATGGGAATTTCAGACTATTGAAATATGGCTAAAGAGTACATATAAGCAGGAATGATACCTAATTAATTACAGAATAATAGGATGGCATGGCATAGGGGGATCTTTAGAAGACACTTGAGTCTGCCCCAATCATTTAATATATAGTGGACTTAATCATAGCCACTGGGCAGTAACAGAGTTGAATCAGAGCCTGAGGACCCCAGTTCAAGATCAGGCCACTTCTTTCTCTCTCAATTATCAGCCAAACAAAATTAAATAACATATTTAAAATTTTATTTCTAACATTTATTTTTGCTGTAAGAACAAAAGCATCCATTGCAAGAAATTAGAATATTTATAATACAGGGAAGACCAAAGGCTCTGTTGTTAGTCCATCAACTTGGAAAAATGCTTACTGATGTTTCAGGAAATGGAGATTGTTATTCAAGCATCATGTGACACACTGATGCCTTTATTGAATTAAAAAGCACATTATCCCTAAGGTTGTGCAAATTCTTCAAGAGTGTGTTTTCATTGTCTGAAGAACAGACCACTGGATGGGAATGGTGTCATTAACTAAAGCCATCCTTATTTATTTAAGTGTTTAAACTCCTCTTGGTTCTTGACTATAAGTCATATTTCAGTATTAATATTTTTCTCTACATCTTAAACTACTTCTTTGATTCTAGATTCTGGGTGGTAGAGCTTAACCATCTACTACTAAAAGTTCTTGGTATTTTTAAGTTACTTAATACATATTGACCAAATTCCCTTCCAGAAAGATGAGTTTATCCTCTCCTACCATGTAGAATAGTGTCTAGAAATCATATGTAAGGGGGTACTAAATATAGGTTTACATGAATCTTTCATATTAAATTGTAATTTTGTGAAATGAATTTTAGAGTTGACAAGTGATAATAATTTAACACCCAAATTAAATAGATAGATCCATAAAAAGGAATTTGTGTTAGAGATTTTATAATTATTCAGTTTTACAAAATTAAGTAGTGAACCCCATATGTTTCTAGGAGCTGATTTAGAGAGAATAAAGAGTAAAATTTTGACAGCCATCTTGCGGCCATCTAAGGGGCAGCTGATGTTGCCACTTCAAGGACAGCTTCTGACACTGTGTGCCTGGGTGCTGATTTTCTGAACTGGCTTTGGAGATGCACAGCTCTCTGCCATGTGAGTTGTCACTGTCCTGCCCAGCTCACTTCCGGATGTGAGTTTATTAGCCTGACAAAGTGTGAGCATGAGCGTATGCAAATTGCCTTATCCAGCACGAGCAATAGGTTGATATTCCTGTTAACATGTCTAGACTCTAGGATGCTAATATTTCTTGACAGAAAATTATTCCTTTAGGATTCTGTTTGTTGGGGTGCTTAATTTACAAGTATGGTTGGATCTTCAGATTATAAGAAAGTCTTCAGGTTTTTTTTTTCTCAATTTTTTTTGTGGATTGAAGTATTACTGTTAAATGTCATTGGTTTAGCTTTCTATGGTATTGTTCAGAAGTATATGAGAAAGGAGAGAGAAAAACACACACGGAGAGTAAAATGCAGAGAAAAGAGAGACAGAGATATAGAGTGAGAGAGTCTTATTCAGACAGCACATGTGTAAAGATGTCTTATGAGCTTTAATACTACAGGAATGTAACTATAGGTTTTTATTATTGTTAACAGGCAACTCTGACCTAAAAGGAATTTCTAACATCTCTAACTCCATCTTTCTTTCCTCCTTCCTTCCTTCCTTCCTTCCTTCCTTCCTTCCTTCCTTCCTTCCTTCCTTCCTTTTTTCTTTTCTTTTTTTCTTTCTTTTTCTTTTTTTGAGGCAGAGTTTTGCTATGTGGCCCTCAAATTCATGCTAGGCTGACCACAAATTCATTTTGGTCTTTTTAGTGCTGGTATACAGGCATATCCCACCATACCTAGCCTCCTATCCTAAGCAAAACAGGGTTATTAAGCTAAGATTAGGGTATACGTGGAAACATTTTTATTGCATGAATCTTCATCTAGCTGATGAAGAGAGCTTTACATTTTGCGTGTAAGTAGCACTGTGATGCCTACAGGCAAGTGTTTCAGGCAAACACATTCTCTGATCTAACTAGGTCAATTCTGTTAACCCTTAACTCTCAGTTACTTAAGAACCACCCAAAACATGGAGTTGCTCATGCATGATTTGTGTCTTCCAAAAGGCAAAGTGTGTTCTGGGAGGAAAAGGATTCTTTACAGATGCAGATGAACAGCAACCTTTGTTTCCACAAAATCTTTAACCTTGTGAGTAAGCAGTGCCTTTGTTAGAGGCTATGCTTCGCTTGTCTGGACTCAAGGGAGAGCTGTTCTAGGAGTGCCCAGGGGATGTCTAAAGCAGCCCCTCCATTCCATGAGATTCAGCCCACATGATGAAGCTTGCAGCCTGCTTATAAATTAGATTACTTTTTGAGTATCTGTCTTCTGTTCAGAAGAAAAACAAAATCAAATTGTGATTTGTCCTCACAGATTTAATCTTCATATTTTTATGATTTTGCAGAAAAGTGCAAAAGCAACAATAACAAAAAATGAAAAGATGTTAGATAAACCCAGCAGTTTGTAGCAGCCTTTTATGATCTCAGGCTTGACTTATGTATGTCCTGGGCACTTCTGCATGCTTGGTGGATGTGACCTTCCACAAAGTTTTATTTGACTGCACTGTACAATTTCATGGTGGTATCTCAGCTTCAGGAAGGAAAAACAGATCAAGCTTGACATTTTCCATTCACAGCTGAACCAGTTAATCATAGAGTGGAGGGCACTGAAGGATAAGTTAATCAGAAAGGCCCAGAAAACAGGGTGAGGCAGTGTCCATTAGGTGAGCCTAGATTGCGTTGATCAGTGACATTGGGGACCAGGAATTCCTACCACCCATTTGCACTAACACACGCGTACTTCACAAAAGGGCAAGCAGCAAAAAGGTGGCCTGTGCAGCAAACTTATCACCAAAGATGCTTTGTAAAGTGGAAAAATACTTACCTCTCCGGGAGGCTTCAAAACTATCAAAAAGATTAATTCTCTGGATGTCATAGGTTAATGTGATGTTGGGCATCAGGGTTCGGTTTCGGTTAATACTGGTGACTGCAAACTTGAAAGCTAATTCTTCCACATTAACGGGTTCGTTTTCCACAGTTTCAAAAATCCCTCCTGCAGAAGCAAAAGAGATTCATGAGAGACATTAGACATGTGCCGTATCACTATTTCAAAAGAAGCTTGTAAAGTATTAACAAAAGACCCAAGATAATGATCGCCAGGATGACCCGGGTAGATAAAGAATCCAGGCCAAATGCTATCAGAATGTGTTATGTGCAAACAAATAGTTCCAACTGCACATACATGCTTAAGGTTTTAAGTTCAATATTGGAAGTATAATACCTCTTAGATGGTGGATCTATTTCAAAGTTTTACACCACAGAATCATAGTTAATAATACAGTAGAAAGCAGTTTTCTCTGATTTTCATGAAAGTTGTGCTCTACTTGATCTAAACACAATTTAAACTCTATTCTGGTAGGCAATCCCACCTTGGGATTAAGACATTTCTGTTGAAACCAGAGTTTCTAGGAGCTGGAGAGATGGTTCTGCAGTTACAAACACATGTATATGGCTCTTATAGAGGACCCAAGCTCAGTTGCCAGCACCCACACTAGTCTACTAATAACCACCCATAAGCAAAGCTCCGGTACATCCGACACACTGTTGGGTGCTTGCACTCATGTGCACACACACCCATCCACACTCATGGAGACCTCATCCCACACACTCATGTTTACACACTCGTGTGCAGACCTCCACACATGCATGTGAACACCCTGCCCAACACACACTCATGTGCACACACGTGTACCTCCACCCGCCCACACTCGAGTGCACACCTCATTCACACACTCATGTGCATGCCCCCACATTCATGTGCACCCCCTACACTCATGTGCACATCCTCATCCACACACACTCGTGTGCACACCTCATTCACACACTCATGCGCACACCCCTAGCTACACACTCGTATGTAGACCCCACCCCCACACACCCATTTGCACGTCGTCCACCTCTCCACCCTGACGCATACACATGAGTGAAGTTAAAATAAATCTGTTTTAAAAGGCGGACGTTCTGGACCCTAACTCTAGTGAGACTGGGCTGGGATGGATTGGGACAAAATTGAGGAACGCTCCTCTGGCAGTTTTCAGAATGGAATGTAAACATCTTTTCAAGGTTTTATGGCTTAGATGTCTGGGGTCATATTCTATACATCCTAACACATTCCGAAGCATATGGGTAGATTCAGAGAAGAGTTGTTTTCTCTGTTTGAAAAATCATTTGAATATACCCCAAAGCAAGCTTGTGCTTTAACTCTGGCGAACAAGTTCTTTCATGTCCTGGGTCTGTCATCTTAAACACGTGTGTCTATCTCACTATAAACAGTATCACAGTGCTGGGGGCTACATCAGAGACTGCAACTCTAGCATGCATGAGATACTGGTATCAGGTAGAGACATGGTTAGATGTATGTTCTTAATACTCTTTAAGAGCGCTCATGTATTAACTCAATAGACACAGAACATCCTATTGAAACATTATAAGCTGACCTCTATTTAGCTAGGTCCTTGATTTACCCAAGTCTTTGCTTCCTCTGAAAATAGGCCTTAACTGCTACCCGTGGTATGCTGAACGCTCATAGGCTGCAATTTTTCTACTCTCATTATTCCTTATTAAGGGGCACAATTAGGTATTTCTAAATTTTTTGTTGACTCAAGCAAACACACACACACACACACACACACACACACACACACACACACACACACACACAAAAAATCTGAAATGAAAAGCACAAATAGTCATCAGAGGCATGATTTCCATTCGTTCTTCTCAGATGGAGAAATCCAGTACAGATTTTAACTAAATGTAATTACACGGGCCCTATTTAGAAAGATCAGTTTTTTTTTTTTAAGCGCATATATAGCTTTTTGTTGAACTGACTATATTTCTTAATTAACAGCAGCGTTTAGTGATGAGAGCTAAGAAGAACTATAGTAACCTAATTTGCCTTCTTTCAAATCCATTTCCGGTATTTATAGATCAAAAGCTCGAACCATTCAGGGATAGATTACTACTATGGTTCTCTGTGAAACAATAGTTAAGAATAAATGATGATGCCATGTTAACTTTCACCTAATGTCCCAGGGAGACAATTGTTCCAAATGTAGTATCAGAAAACTCTTGTGTACTCCCTGTGTCAGTCACAAACGGGGAGTGAGGAATTGACTTCCGTTGTTCTTGGACACGGTGAGTAGATGAAGGACTGACAGGTGAGGAGGTCGGGCAAAGAGCACTGAGGGGTCACAGGCAGACTGATGTAAGATGGGTTTAACGATGTGGTCAAGGTGACCCACACTGAGGGCTTTTGCTATTAGAATTCCTATAATAGTCATTAGCAATTGCTTGTTTACTCATCTTTCCTCCCAGCTCCAGCAAGTGTCTTGTGACGGAGAGCCCATGCCACTCAGAATCTGACCCCATCCAGACCAAGGCAGCTTAAGATGCCCAGGCTGCAGCTATTTAAGGACAAAGTGAACCTCAGCCTGTGAGGAAAGCAGTGGCTCAATGTACAGGGCAGGCTGTGGGAGAGGATATATTCCCAAATAAAGAATGACCCTGGCTTTACTTAATTCTCCTCAGAGATTTTTAAGTTGTGGGAGAAAAGTCATCCTAGAGTCGGTCTTCTGTGCAGTTTTCATCAAAGCCTTATAGCTAGCAGACAAAGTAGGAGATAGTTTCCTGTTTTAGTCAATGGAAGAGAAAGAGATAACACACACATTGTCTCTACATAATTTAGCTACAAGACTCATCCCTGAGAAACTCAGATGTCTGACTGTCCAACATCTGTGCATGTGCTCATATTTTCACTTCATCAAACTATTTCTGCTTTTATTACCTCTAAATGTGGATGATAATTCTCCATTGCTCCCGTGGTCTATAAAGCAAATGGGTAAATTCAGCTCAATACTTTGAAAACACAGTGTTTCTCTAGAAAGTGTGGCTATTATTGAACTTGGTGAAGACAAAACAAACCAGTTAATACCAATTTTGAAACTTCCTGCTCAGTTCAAAATTATTCCTCTGGTTTACAGTTGTCTTTTGCACACAACTTTGACTCTTCCTGGGTTTAAGGAAAGTATTTGTTTATTTTTATGTACTTTGTGTGCAGGTGAACTCCAGTTTGGCATTTTAAGGGAAATCATTGTGTTTCATTTACTTAAGGAGAATTACGCATGGCATCCTTAGCTCAGCATCCCACCATATTCTTTTCTCCTGGAAAAGACATCCGATAAATACACCAAATCTACAGTAATGTGAAGTGTGCAGACCTCTAGAGAAGTACCAAGAACACAATATCTGCTAAAACAGGAGTTGCTAACAGACTGGTCCTTCAGAAAGTGGGTGTAGACACTCCCAGTTAGCCTCCTCCTTCTCCTCTCTGTAGCTTCAGATTTAAGATGTGGAGTACTTAATACATGGAGCAGAGGCGCTCTTGCCTAGGGACACTTTCATGGTTCATTTTTACCTCTCTCTCCTCATCCCTCCCTCCCCCTTTGCTCTGTTCCCTCCCCTTTCCTTCTCCTCCAATTTTATTTTTAGACAGTGTTTTCCTGTGTAACTGCATTGGCTCTCCTGGTACTCCCTCTGTAGACCAGGCTGGCCTTGAGCTCACAGAGGTCCACCTGCTTGAGCCTCCTGAGTGCTGGGATGAAGGGCATGAGCTACCACTGTCCAGACTGGATTGACCCTTTTAATGAGATGTTTAAATCCTTCTGGGAGTATCTCTGTGGGACTAGTTTCTTTCCTCAGCCATCTGGAGGTCAGGGGTCCCACTTCTCAGGAAGGAAGACTCCTCTCTCAGCCATTGCTCTGCTCCTTCTCTACACTACTCTAACCCTTTCCCCCTTGACTGTCCCTCTTTCTACTAAGATTAAAGAACCCTTTTGACTTTTGACCTCTCATTCTTCTAGCCCTAAGAATTCAATGAGCTGTGGACAAAGTTAGAAAAACTGAAGTTAAGGTAAGTTTCTTCAGACCTTGATGTGTGCAGAAAAGACATCCATCTATCCATCCATCCATCCATCCATCCATCCATCCATCCATCCATCCATCCATCCATCCATCCATCCATCCATCCATCCATCCATCCATCCATCCATCCATCCATCCATCCATCCATCCATCCATCCATCCATCCATCCATCCATCCATCCATCCATCCATCCATCCATCCATCCATCCCATCCATCCATCCATCCATCCATCCATCCATCCATCCATCCATCCATCCATCCATCCATCCATCCATCCATGTATTTTTTTCTAAATTGCTCAGATAAGATCAGTGGGTATAAAAAGAGGGAACACTTTGAAAGGACAGGATGAACAAGCTTCTTTTTTGGGCTGTAACCCTTGAATATGGCAGATGGTGCCCAGGAGGGCAGAACCTCAGAGGTGTGGGTGACTATGCTTGCTTTCATCACGTATGAGGAAGAAAGTGTGAGAAGTGTTGGTGAACCACCTTGTCTTTACTGTGATGTGGGTCAGGCTGAGTGCTACAGATCACACATCCATTCTTACAGCCTAGATACAACTGGGCACGAAGCCTCTGCCTAATCACAATAGGAAGGCAAGCAAGGGCCAAAGGGCATCATCAATAATGCCCTGCCCACCCCAAACCACTTGCTGCTCAGTGGCATCACTCAGGATCTTTGGAACAACTGACCAAACATAGGATTACCGAGTAGAAGTTGGGGTAGGCAGAGTTCCAACTTCAGGTCCTCATGCTTGGGTGGTAAAACTATTTATTCATCTTCTCACCCCTACATAAAATAGCTAGGCATGGTGGCATGCTTGAAATCTACAGGGGCATCCTAGGAGCTCACTGGCTAACCAGTCTAGCTAAATTGGCCATGTTAAGGTTCAATTAGAGCCTGTTTTAAATAGTAAGCTGGAGAGTGGTAGAGGGAGACACTCAGTGTCAATTTCTGGCTTCCACGCTCACATGCAGAGGCATGTGCACATCTGTGCATTTAAGCATATGTCACATGTTCAAAATACAGACCAAAACATTTTCTAAAACTGGAAATTGGGATTGTAAGA